ATCATCCCGTTGAACCAGAACCACGGGCATAACGCCGCGTGACCCGCGATGCCTATCAGCTCAGGATTAATTCACAGTTTCTCCAACCGAGAATTTATGGAGATAGTCGATGCTTAATTCCTCGCGGCACGGTTCCGTTGACAGCTTTTTCTTTTCTTTTCTTTTTTATCTACGCCCTGCTAATGGATCTTGGAACAGTCGAGTCTTCCTTTTTTCCTTCGATCACGATTCGAACGATTTCTTTCTCGAAAACTCGATATTCTTCTATGCGTTTCCATTTTTTTAATCCTATCTTCTCGATTATTAAAACTTTCTTCTAGCATCTAAGCTAGAGCATCTAACATTTAATTAACTAAGAAGAGGAGTTTCTGAGAATTTTTAGGAGAGCTTTCTTTTTTCCCCCCCTCCAATTTTCTTAAATATTTTGGCCAAAGAATATCGTTGTTAATCTTGCTGTTAAATTAGTTTTTCGTTAAATTATTTTCGATTATTATTATTTTTCAATTGTGCGTTGGTAAAGGAAACGGGAAAATTGGGAGATTTCTTTTTTTTTCTTTCTTTCTTTTTACGAAATTACGAATGTAGAGTGTATATTCTTTGATAGGGAGCAGTACAATGCGCCAGTCGGTTAACAACATGGCCGACATTACGGCAAAGAAACGCGCCAAGAATTCTTTCCACTCCTCGCTTCTGTCCCTGCCTCGTACGACAACGGAGGAACAGAAAAAAAAATCATGGAACGACAAGGAGTAGCTTTCTAAACTGTCTCTCGTACAACGCACACGTGATATCACAATTATAATCAATCTTGGATCCACCATAGAACTATCACAGCACATTATTAAAAAATGAAAAGCACACGATTATGAACAATTTTCGTTTCGATTTTTCTTTCATTGGTTACTTTGGTTCATTGCGTTAAATCGTCCTCAAAAATTAACCTGAAAATAATCTCTAATAAAAATTGGAAATAGAATTAGAATTTCCAAATTATCAAAGAATCTTGAGCGAATTCATTAAAAAATTACCTCACTGTTTCGACAATCTTTTAGGATCGATCAATTTCTCGATCCTTCCAAGGAATTATATTATAAATCATTATATAATTTAAATTAATCTCATAAAGAAAAAAAGATTGGCATTAATTTCGAGAATCGAGAAAATTTCATCACTACAAGAATTTCGATTAAGTTAAAGAAGAAGAACAAGTTTAAAATAATCTAACTAAAAAA